CTGTACATGAGGGGGGTCTACTTTGAGGGGCTGCTGTTCTTTTAGGAAACAAACAAACAAAAAAAAAAAAACAACCTTATATGTCAGAAAAGGAGATCCAAGCATCATCTAATAAAAAGTAGAATTTGACTTTTTGAAAATATCAGTTAAAAAAAAATTTTTTTTTCAGTTCTGTGTAGGGGTCTGGTCTTATTACCCCTGAGATGACCACTGGATTAATGTCACATAATAGTGTAAACAAGTTCATAAAATATAAGCAGATTAAAAAGTCCAGGATACTTTCCAACAAAATCCAAACACTGCTGTATATATTCTGTATAAACCTTACATCATTTCTCACAAATTATTTTAATACTAATTTAGTATTATTAGTCATTTCCTATGCCTCTCGATTTCCCAGATCTTGCCAAAAATGTCCAATTAGGGAACCCATATTGCAAGCAAAACCCTTAACGTAAAGACATCTATATTTACATTTATTTAGAATAATATTAGGTCACAGAGCATAATTTATTTATCTGTTATTCTTCTCTGTGGCGAGGGGGACAAACTGGATTATTGCAGCTACATTTGAGGTATGACTGTCAGGAGCTAAAAATGTCACAAGGCAGCAAACCAGAAGATATAAAACCAGCACAGTAATGATGTAAGTCAACTAATGAGGTTTATACACTCATGAAAAGTACTGGCCCTATGTTTCGTTCTTTCTTTTTGTTTATTTTTTAACTTTGTCTTTCTTAAATGTATGTTTGCAGGGCTGGCCTGTTAGCTCAGTTGGTTAGAGCACGGTGCTGCTAACACCAAGGTCCAGGGATTGATCCCTGTACCAGCCAGGTGCCAAAAAAAGAAAAAAAGTAACTCTATGTTTGCAATATAGATTTGCTTATTAACATGTCCCTTGTATTATTGTTGATTAATGCTGTTTAATTTACTACTATATAACATCTAAACATTTTAAGGTTTTCTGTTTTTCTAATAATCTTTTCTGTACAAAAATGCTTTGCTAATCAATGTAGGACATTTCTCCTGATTCCTGGCTCTTATTATGCAAGAGGGGTTTTTTTGGGTTTTTTGTTTGGTTGTTTGTCTATCTGTTTTTTAATAAATCAGACTCCAAAGGAGAATTTTCCTGTATCACTTAACTGCTATAATATAACATGCCATTTTAGAAGTTGAACAATGAAATCTTTTTATCTTTTTTTAATCTAATTTTTTTAAATGGTTAAACAATAGAATCTTAAAAGGAGTTTATTACTTCAGGCAGTACCAAATCACACCCCCTAAATTAAAAATTATAGATAACAACAAAAAAATTTGTATTAAGAGAACTTCTTTCATAGTGCTCAGATATTTAAGTTAAGAACTTTTAAGTTTATTGTCAACCATGAATAGTAATACTTGAGAAATAGAAAAATTGGTTGTTTTGGGAAGAAATATTCTGAGAACATGCATTCTGAGAATGACTTATAAACACAATTGTGACCAGCACAAGATAGATGGGGCAGCCCAGGACTGCAGAGCCTGGCGTTTCCGTGGGTCTCCAGCAGCAGGAGACTGGAACAGCCCTGCCGTCTCTAGGCAGTAGATCACACAACAGGGTCACAGCTTGATTGTTAATAATCAGTGAGAAACCTGGCTTCAGTGCAGAATAGATGTGCCTGATAGAGCCAGTTAACTATTGTCAGGACGGCCACTTGACACCGAATGGCTTAGTTGTGATGATGTCTTAACCCAAAGTCTCCTGGGAAAACAGATCAGGCTATGACAGAACTAACTCACCACTATTGAGCATTAACAAGCAGAAATGGGCTCCCACGACAAGAAAGCATCCCTCTGGTGCTAAGAGCTTAAACAAGGCCTCTGCAGGCAGGCAAACCAAAGCGAATCAGAACTGAAAGGTGAAAGCCAAATAAAATTCAGCATCCTTTACTTTTCAGTAGCTTAAATTACTCTAATTACATGCATATACCCTCATTGAATCAAAGTCTAACCTTTCCAGATCATCCAGGGCAATTATGAAAATAAGCCACTAGCCTCCTGGCTTCGCAATTAAATCAGAGCCTAATTAAATTATTTTAGGTATATCACCTGGTTTTAACTGATTCTACATCATCTTTTCATTTGCACTGGTTTTTTTTATGAATCTGCTCTCATGAACTAGCTTGAGATATCTGTTTCAATAACTACCCCATTCACCCTTCCCAAGGGAAAGTCAATATGGCACTGGATAGGGGTCAGGATGAGGGTGAGATGATAAAAATGAGTACTTTAAATGCAAATTTAGCAAGAAAACCTGAATTTTTTCAAACCTAACTTCATTAGTTATGTATTAATATTTGCGAGGAGAGGAAATATTCATGTTTTGCTGCAGTTTATATCTTCCCAACCAAAGCCCTTGTTTCATGATATGTCTAATTTAGCAGTAAGTGTCCTCTATTCACAATGTAATAATGATATTTCTATTGAAATATAAAAGCTGAATTTTTTTTTTTAATTTTGGAAGATGTTCTGCATCCTTGTCAACAGATGGCTTCAAAGAAATGCTCTGTTCTGTCACCCCATCCAAACTACCAAATTCTTCCTGTTAGTGAATAGGTCCAGTTTGGGGTACATTTACCACACTGTAAAATATGAATAATAGACTTAAATTACTCAACAGACTAACAAGCGTACTTTACTTTGCTTTGCTTTTTCCAAGGGCACATCCTTTTCAATCTGCATCCAGAATTTTGATGTAAGGCTTCTCAGAGATTCTAGTTTTTGAAATGACATTCTTTCGAAAATAAATTATATTAAGGCTTTATGAACTGAATACAAATAAATTTCTCTATTGTTTCTTGGCTTCTAGGATTAAAAATTAAATCTCATGAATGTTACAGCAGACATTGGTAGGTACATTAAAAAAGAAACAAAAACGTTCTACAATATATCCTGAAAAAACTATTCCTTCAAAGACATGACATGATCTTTTTTTCAATTTGTCTCCCTTCACAACTTTTTCATTTCTCTAATTTAGCTGAGAAACAAAAAGGGGCTGAATTATTTTCATTTCTCCTGGGGAAGTAGTTTCTTGGTGCTTCTTCTAATTTCCCAGGGTAAGAGTTTCTTATTGAATCCATGCAAAAGTGCTTACACACAAAACAGAGTACACATTCCAAATGAAGAGTTATTGGAAAAAAAATTTGTTCTAATGGGAGAAATTCCTAACATTGGCTAATTAAACTTTGTATGTTATAATATGACCCAAAGATGTCAAGTTTGTCTAAGTTGTTACATCTAAACACGTGACTTATTTATTTAAATTTAATAGTCCCCAAGCTTGATTAATTTTTAAAAACTCAAAAATGTGAAGAAAAGTGCCATGAATTCAAAAATAAAATATGTATAACCATACTTAAAACATACAAAGTATCACATAGATGTATAGAAGATGATTCAATTTCTTACCTTCATCATGAATTTCTGTAGGGGCATAAGGAAAAGAGAAAAAAACATTAAATATTAATCATTTCAAAGACATTTAAAAATACTGCACCTCTTATTTAGAAAGACTCCATTGTTCTAAATGGAGATATATAAACAATAAACATACAAAAACACATCGACTGTGTTGTTGCAACAAAACGTAGCATCAACTACATGCTAGAGAAAAGCTGTAGCAAGCAAAACTCTTCTTTAAAGAGTTTTTACATTAGTTTTTCCTTTTTCTGTGAAAACATGCCACTCTACATTAATGCGTGATTCAATTTACAACATCTCTAAGCACCAAAAAAAGTATCATCTTAAACATATCCTCTAAAAATGCTTTTTTTTTTTTTAAGTAAAATCTTCCCTTTCATCCTTTGCATTAAAATGCAGTGATAGAAACAGCAACCCAACCAATTTTAGTAAAAACAGTAGATTAGAAGCAGGTAGGGCAGATTGGAAACTAATATGCTGCAATGAGGTGCTCAGATTTCATGCAAAACAATGGTCAGCAATTCCTTAGATACTACATATTGTGAGAGGTGAAATTTGATGAAAAATCACAAAAAAACACTTCTCTTTTTTCTCTTAAAATGAGTCTCCTCTTTTAAATAATATAATAGCTTTTTTCTTCTACAAACATAACGTGTGTATATATTCCTTCATTTTTCTTTAGACCCCTAAATTTTCTTTGACTTCTTATTACCAGGGGAGGTAAGATAAAAAGACATAAGAGTGAAAACCATGTTGTATTTCCAAACTTAGGGCTACATTTAGTTGGCAGGAGCATGTCTAAGTCCTGCAGAGAAAAGACACACACAGCCACATTAGTTTTAAAGAAAATAACAGGGGAAAGTTTTCCACTATAGAGATTTGTAAATATTACAGTTGTTTTCCTGAAACATAACTACTGAGCACAGTAACATGTATACTATTAAATGGAAATTACACTGTGAATCATTTTTTTTTTCATTTACAATATTATAATTTTAAGGGAAAACAGTAAAGAACCTTTTCGTTCTTGCCTGAGAAAATACAGGCTGTTGAGTTACATTTTTGTAACTGATGTTAACAGCAAATGGTATCAGGAAATGTATATACCACATTGAAACTGACCAAACCACGTGCCTGCACGTGATTCTCTAATGATGAAGATATCACAAATGAAGAATTAGGAAAAAATAATTTTTAAGCATTAATTCAAAGAAATACAAAAATACATGGCTTATAAGAGATACTTTCTTTGTGAGATTTTTTTTTTAATTAAGCTAAGTTTGGAGGATTTTTCCATAAAAAAGTCTCAGCCTGATTTTTTCAGTTCCATTAAAATTGTAATAGATGGAAAACAGAGCGGCTGGTGGAGTTACTGAGGTCTGTTATTTAGAATTTCTAAGTTGTGCATGACTGCAGAAAGAACAAGACACAAAAGACAATAATCTGCATTTACAACAAATAGAATGAATGCTGCAAATTAGCAAAGTCGAAACTATCCATCTGTACAATGTGAAAGTACAGCAGGTGTAATAGACATATTATTTTCAAAAGATCATCAAGAAAACGAAAGATCATTTGTAGCATTATCAACATTAACTTTTTGTACAA